GTAATTTTCTTTTCCTACCCCTGGGAGGTGCAGTCACAGTCCCCAGACACAGGACCGGAGCACGAAACGCGTTCCTTGCATACTGTGTCTAGGCCAGCTGTGGGCAAACTACGGCCCGCGGGCCGGATCTGGCCCATTTGAAATGAATAAAACTAAAAAAATAAAAGACCGTACCCTTTTATGTAATGATGTTTACTTTGAATTTATATTAGTTCATACAAACACTCCATCCATGCTTTTGTTCCGGCCCCCCGATCCAGTTTAAGAACCCATTGTGGCCCTCGAGTCAAAAAGTTTGCCCACCCCTGGGCTAGGTGCTATAAATCTTAGTAGCTGTCCTGTGCCCACCCATGTAAACAAGTGTGTGTCTCCCCATTTTGCCTTTTACCCAATACTAGATATTTCCCTGTTATGCTTGCTCCTTAGTCGACCTCCCGTGGGTTTCATGCACCTTCTTTACGTCTTTGATTTTAACATATAAAATAAGCTGCAAAACTGCCATTCTCCAGAGCATTTGAGGACTTGCTTCCTGCTGTATGTCCTCAGTTTGGCTCAAATAAACTAAAGTTCTTTACAGGTTTGGATGTTTTTTGTTGACAAGATTTTGGTAGGCCTATTTAATAGTGACCAGAGCTGATGGGGTCCCTCTTGAAGAGAAATAGCTATATGACCAGATGTTCACACTGAAGGCTGCTTCTCTTTAGCTAGCAGCATTTTATTTTATTTATTTTTAAAAGATTTTTTGTGAGTTTATTTGAGCCAAACTCTCCACATACACCGGGAAGCAGAACCTCAGCGAATTGAGATAATGCTCTGGAGAATGGCGGGTTACATCTGTATTTATACATTGTGATCAAAGGAGGGACGTAGGCGGGTTACATGGAATTCATTGGTGATAGATTAAGGAGGCGGAATAAAGCAAAGAGCAGGGGAAACCCTGGGATTGGATAAAAAGTAAAATGAAGGACACATACTTAGGTGGGTGCAGGATCAATTAACATGATAATGAAGGAATTTGTGGTCTCTGTCCTGGCGCCCAGCACATTTGGTTGTGCCCCAGGGGCTCCAGAAAAAGGGAAGTTACAAGTTACCCAGACATTTCAAGGGTATGTTATCATAGATGCAAAAGGACAGATAGGCTCCGTTAAGGTAAAGGTTGACCTTGTCAGTGAAGATACCGGCCTAGGACGTTACTGCCCACCATCAGCTAGCAGCATTTTAAAAAATGTTCCCACTGTTTTAGTGACAGGAAATAATTTTCCATTTTGTAGACTGACCACAAGTCTTAGAGATGATTTTACAAGAAAACTAGCTTTTTTTTTTTTTTTAAGGGAAAAATGACTGCTTCAGCGGTTCTCAACCTGTGGGTCGTGATTCTTTCACAGAGGTCGCCTAAGACAGTCGGAAAACACATATATAATTACATACTGTTTTTGTGATTAATCACTATGCTTTAATTATGTTCAATTTGTAACAATGAAATTGGGGGTCACCACAACATGAAGAACTGTATTAAAGGGTCGCGGCATTAGGAAGGTTGAGAACCCCTGGCAGATGATTTGTACCTAATGAGTGTGGGGAGGGAAAGTAGCTTTTACACTTCTAATTTGTGACTTGTTTAATAAATTGAATGAGAATATGGGACCTGAGGATAAATCAGGCAGTTAAAGTCCACATGCCGACCACAAGCCCAGAGCAGAGGGAGGTAGGAGTCTGGGACTTCAAATGGAAAGTAGGCGATTCACAGGTAGATGAGAAAGAGCAAACATTTGGTAAACAAATCCTTGCCTGGCCACCCAGAAACAATGGGAGGCAGAGGGGAGTCTAGCAGACTTGCCATTCTTAGCTCTTAGGACCCTAAGCCAGTGATGGCAAAAACCCTAACTTAGCTCTGGTGCCATGTCACATAGAAATTTTCTGATTAACAAAGAAAAATCAACCAAAAAAATGAGTTTGCTTGTCACCTCTGACACGGATGTCATAGGTTCGCCATCACTGCCCTAAGGTGACAGTTGCCTTTCTGTAAGCAGGTTTTTCTGTCTCTGAATTCCTTTAGGCAGGTCAGGGGGAGGTAAAAGACTCTTCTGGAGTCATTTTTAAAATTTTTCTATTGATTTCAGAGAAGAAGGGAGACGGGGGGAGGGAGAAACATCAATGATGAGAGAGAATCACTGATCAGCTGCCTTCTGCACCATGCCCCACACTAGGGATTGAGCCCGCAACCCGGCATGTGCCCTGATCCGGAATCATATCCTGATCTCCTGGTTCACAGGTCGACGGTCAACCACCGCCTTGCCGGCTGGGCTTGAGTCATTTCTTAATCAGCTTAAAATCATATCCCCAAAGGGCATATTTTGGGTGGCAAACCTTTGCTTCATTTCAGGAGTTAGAGGATGTGTTTATTAAATTCCTCAACTCAGGAAATATTTCAGTCAGTTCCCTAGGAGACAGCTCACTGCCTTGCCCCCCACCCCTGCCCCCACTAAGCCCCCACCATCACCTGAGAAATGTGGGTCAGAGGATACCTGGAATCATGTATCTAGAAAGGATGTAGAAAATTGCACAATGGCAATTACATATGTGGACGGAAAGAGGCCACATAGTAAACCTGACGCGCTCAGGGAAGGCCTGTGTGGTGGCCTCACAAATTCAGAGACCTGATGTAATCACAAAGGAAGGTCTGAACTTAAAACTTCTTAACTAAACGCAGTTTATTATGGTGGGTAGCCATGTTCCTGACAAAGTTCCATTTTCACCTTCATTAAGCCTTGTCTGTTGCCTTTTGCATCTAGATAACACACCTTTGGAAGGTCAAAGTAATTTTCTTTTCCTTCCAACCCTCAAAGCACAGGTACGGAACCAGAGTGGAAACCACAAATCCCCTCGTACTGAGTTAATTGTGTTTTGTTTTGTTTTTTTAAATATATTTTATTGATTTTTCACAGAGAGGAAGGGAGAGAGATAGAAAGCCAGAAACATCGATGAGAGAGAAACATCGATCAGCCGCCTCCTGCACATCCCCCACTGGGGAAGTGCCCGCAACCCAGGTACATGCCCTTGACCTGAATCGAACCCGGGACCCTTCAGTCCGCAGGCTGACGCTCTATCCACTGAGCCAAACCGGTTTGGCGAGTTAATTGTGTTTTTTAAAAAATGTAATTTATTGTTTTACAGAGAGGAGGGGAGAGGGATAGATAGAAACATCGAAAAGAGAGAAACATGGTCAGCTGCCTCCTGCACACCCCCTACTGGGGATGTGCCTGCAACCAAGGTACATGCCCTTGACCGGAATCGAACCTGGGACCCTTGGGTCAGTCCGCAGGCCGACGCTCTATCCACTGAGCCAAACCGGCCAGGGCCTGAGTTAATTGTTGACTATTAACTATCCTGTACCCCCTACGCAAAAGAAGTGTGTGTCTATCACTTTACTTTTTATTCGATCCCAAAGGTTTCCTCATTTTGCTTTCTCCTGCCTCCCTAACCTATCCCCAGTAGATTTCAGGTAACCCACCTATGTCTTCTCTTCTGTCGTGTGTAAAATAAGATGCAGAACTGCCATTCTCTGGAGTATGTTCTCAATTCATAAAAATTTTGCTTCTGGCAATTGACAGTTTCCACTCACAAAACTTCTCTGCAGGCCTGAGTGTTTCTTATTTTGACACATAACTTTTGCCGATCTTAGTTGCGTATCTATAAATTAGGCAATACCATCTATCGCCTAGGATTATGGCGAGGACTGTATGAGACGGACCTAGAACACATGACAGGCCCTGGATTTCCGTCACTCGCGTAACAAGTACTTACTGAGCTACTGTGACTGGCTGTGACTGACGGGTGGCAGGATGAATAGAAGGAGAAAACCTGGGCACAAGGGCGGGACTTCAAGGGGAAGGCCTCCCCGCCCCGCCCACGTGCTCCCACCGGCTCCTTGACAGCCGCCCGGAGCGCTCCACACGCCGGATATGACGTCACCGCCCGAGGTTCCCAGAACGAGGCGGTGGGACCGGAAGTGAACCCGGGGGGCTGGGGGTGTTCCAGACTGACCGGATGTGGGCCCGGGCCGGCTCCCCAGCCCCAGTTCCCGGGAGCTGGTCGAGGGGAGCGCGAGGAATCGAACACTTTTACACCACTTTGAAGCAAAGAAAAAAAACTGAATTGTATCTCAATGACACCAAAATGGTTTCATTTCCTGCTTTAAATCATGATCTAGTATCAACTATAGAAAAATGTCTATTTATTTTTAATGTGCATCCGGGCTCCTTCCTGCGTTCGGGCCCCTCACGGTCCCGCCGCCGTCACCCCGTTTCCCAACCCTCTCGCTCGCTCTGCTCCGGCCACACGGGCTCCGTGACAGTCACGGAACCCGCACGCTCACGGAGCCCCGCACGCTCATTGCTCTCCAAGCTCTTCACCCGTTCCCCCCGCCTGCGGTGCTTCCCCGGCCTCCCAGCCCGCAGGTCTCGCCCCAGGGTCACCGCCGCCCAGGCCTTCCCCGCCGCACCTAGACGAGCGCTGCCTTTTCTGGGTTCTCTCCTGGGCTCTAACCTGTCTGCTCCCTCCTTGGCCCTTTCACGATTTGCAGTGTTGTTCTTTGCGTAGTGCCCGCCTCCTCCAGGGAGCGCGTCTGCCTTGCTCCCTGCTGCCTCCCCAGCCTGAAGGCAGCGCCTCCCGGAGGAGCACTCAGTAAATGCTCATCCAGTAATGGATCTGATCAGCTTAGAGTCCTCGGTCACACAGACAGGGCCACTGCTGACCCTCAAGCACTTGAGACCGCCCGGGCTTAGGGAGATAGGCTTCTTTATGGCTCCAGGAGGCGAAAGTAGAACCAGCGGGGAGGAAGGATGGAGGCCGAGCCTCAGCTCAGTATCCGAATGACAATGGGAACAGGGGCCCTGCTGATGCGGAGAGGGGGTGCTGACCGAGGCGTGTGGAGGCTGCCCGAGAGGCTGTGGCGATTCCTGCGCTAGATGGGATGACACGATGGGCCTTTGGGACACTGAACGCGCTGTGCTTCGGTTCTCTGCTTCCTGGGACCAGGCCAGCCATGTGACTGCCTCCCCCCGCTGCGGGCAGCAGCAGAGCAGCTTCGGCAGAAGGATCTGAGGATTTCCCAGCTGCAAGCTGACCTCCATCGTCCAGCCCCGGCCCCCGCCCAGCCCCCTGAGCCTGAGGCCCTGCCTACTATCTATGTTGTTACCCCCACCTATGCCAGGTACGGGCTCTGGGGCACCCAAGAGGCTTGCGTGGACCAAGAGCTGGGCGTTGATGGAGAGGATTTGGGGGAGGCATTGGGCCAGGGAATGCTCCTCAAACTAGGGCATGCCAAACGACAGGGGAAATGAACCACACCTTTACTCAAAAACTTGTGGGAAAATGGTTATTTTCTACTAAAAGAGATAGGGGTGTGCTATGAAGTGGGATACAAAATCCCTGAGAAATTTTAAGAGAGAAAAATATCATTTCAAAGAAATTTGGAGCTTGCTACGGAGTTCACTCTCTCTCCTTAGGGATCCTTTGGTGAGAAAGTTTGAGAACCCTATCTAGCTTGGAGTAGACAAGGGCTTGGTCCTGCCTGGCTGGTGTGGCTCAGTTGGAGTGTCATCCCACCCACTGAAGAATCTCCAGTTCGATTCCCAGTGGGCACATATCCCCCAGTGGGGGCGATATTTCTTTCTCACACCTACGTCTCTCTCTTTGCCTCTCCCTCTCTCTATAAAATCAATAAAAATTTAACCTAGGAGAGGATTAAAATTTTTTTTAAACTATTTCAAAAAGGGAGAAGGACTTAGTCTGGTAGTTTTTACCAGGGTCTAGAAATAGTTACATTAGATATTTACAGTGTGTTTACTCTTACCAGGCACTGTGCTAAGGGCTGCACTATTTTTTAAAAATATATTTTTAATTGATTTTTAGGGAGAGAGAGAGGGAGAAAGAGGAGAAACATCAATGGGAAAGCAAAACATTGATGGGCTGCCTCCTGCATGCCCTCTACTGGGGATCGAGCCTGCAACCTGGACATGTGCCCTGACCAGGAATTGCATCGAACCCACAAGTTCCAGGGCTAAATGCTGTGCTTTTTTTGTTTTTAATTAAAATGTAGCCTTGATTACTCACACAAATCAGTGGGAAACTGTGGTTTGGGATTTGCAGCCAAAGGGCCTGCTAATTGCACCCTGGAATCAGATGGTTGAGCCATCTAGGCACGGCCCCCCCCCCCCCCCCGCCACCAAGCCTGTGGCCGGCAGGCCGATCTGAGGGAGAACGAAGCCTAGAAGAAACTGGCCCCACTTCCCAGTTCTTTGTCTAAACGCGGATAAGCCATCCTCCCCTGACGAGGAGTGAGTGAGTCCAGGGACCCCCCTAGAGCCCTCTCCCTGGAAACCCAGGCACAGAAGGAAAAGGACCCGGTCCCACCGGGGTTTTAGAAAACCATTATCTTATCTAATCTCCAAAACCACCTTGTTGTAGAGTCCTGTCCTTCCCATGTTACAGCCAAGGGAACAGACTTGGGGAGAGTGAGCCATTTCCCCAGATGTCGCCCCTAATTACCAACCTGGCATTCACACCAGATGTGATTCCTTCCCCGAGTGCCTCCCAGGGCTGAGGTGGGTGACACACATGAGTGGGAGGACAGGGCAGGTGAGTGTCCCTGTGGGTCGGGAGAAGCTGTGTCTGCTGGCTGGCTGCAGTGGCAGCTGGTGGCTGCCCCTTCCTTGCTGCTGCCTCTCCCCCTCCAGGTTGGTGCAGAAGGCCGAGCTGGTGCGACTGTCCCAGACCCTGAGTCTGGTGCCCCGGCTGCATTGGCTGCTGGTGGAGGACGCAGAGGGCCCCACCCCGTTGGTCTCCAGGCTGCTGGCTGCCTCCGGCCTCCTCTTCACACACTTGGCGGTCCTCACTCCCAAGGCCCAGAGGCTCCGGGAGGGTGAGCCAGGCTGGGTTCGGCCCCGCGGTGTGGAGCAGCGGAACAGGGCTCTGGACTGGCTCCGGAGCGGAGGGGGCGCTGTCGGGGGAGAGAAGGACCCTCCGCCCCCGGGCACCCGGGGAGTTGTGTACTTTGCTGATGATGACAACACCTACAGCCGGGAACTCTTTGAGGAGGTGAGCACGGGGAGGGGCCGGGACAGGGGCCGTGGGCCAGCTTCCTCTGTTGCCTTGGTTATCACTGTTGCTCTAGGCCAGTGATGGCGAACCTGTGACACGTGTGTCAGAGGTGACACGCAAACTCATTTTTTTGGTTGATTTTTCTGTTAAATGGCATTTAAAATATGGTATATAAAATGGTATATAAAATAAATACCAAAACTATAAGTCTTTGTTTTACTATGGTTGCAAATATCAAAAAATTTCTCTATGTGACAGGGCACCAGAGTTAAGTTAGGGTTTTTCAAAACGCTGACACGCCGAGCTCAAAAGGTTCGCCATTACTGCCCTAGGCTGTTGGGTGAGGAGGGGGACATGGAGCAGAGGACCCAGGTGGTCCTTCCTGCTGCTCCCTGTGCCCTGAGCCACTCCCTGCCTGTTTCTTGTCTCCCCACCTCTGTTAGATGCGCTGGACCCGTGGTGTCTCCGTGTGGCCTGTGGGGCTGGTGGGCGGCCTGCGGTTCGAGGGCCCGCGGGTACAGGACGGCCGGGTTGTGGGCTTCCACACGGCGTGGGAACCCAACCGGCCGTTCCCAGTGGATATGGCGGGATTTGCAGTGGCCCTGCCCCTGCTGTTGGCTAAGCCCAACGCCCAGTTTGACGCAACCGCTCCCCGGGGCCACCTGGAGAGCAGTCTCCTGAGCCACCTGGTGGACCCCAAGGACCTGGAGCCGCGGGCTGCCAACTGCACCCGGGTAAGAGGAGGGAGGTGGGCACGCAGCTCGGGGGAGGACGGGGGATGGGAGAAGTGGGGTGAGGCCCTGGGAGGAGGATCCCGGGGCAGGTGTTTGAGCAGGAGGGACCCTCACCCTCGGAACTCAGCTGCAGCCTTGCTTACTCTCCTGAAGGGCAGCAGGAGCCAGAGGAGGACGGTGGGGCCCTGCCTCTGTCTCCCCGCGTCCTGGGCACATGCATGGCCCACAGAGGTTAAGGGGTTAAGGCACCGAGGCTCCCACGCTGTGTAGAGGGGGTTGGAGAATCCGGTCACACCGAGGGCCCCGGGGCCTGGCTCGGGCTGGGCCCGGCTGACGGAGTCCCCCCGGGACAGGTCCTTTCGCCAGGCACAGACCTGTGGGGCCGGGCCCCTGGCTGCCAGGGTGCGGCTCTCCACGTCCTGACCCCTCAGAGCCAGGGCGGCCCCTCTGCCGTTTCAGCCCAGCTGC